TCCCTACCCTTCTATGCTCCTCCTATGTCCATCCTAATCAGACCTATCACTGATGGTTTATTTACAATCTTAGACGTATTCAGTTCATCCTTTATCCCATCCTTTATCCATCTTCTGTCCCTCACACCAGTGAAAAACGCAGGTAATCACCTATCTTCTACTGACAGACAAAACTCCCTCCCATAAGAAGGGCAGGTTATCAACCCCTGTTTGATATAAAAGGTCAGGAATGCTACTTCTACTGCTGAAACTTTCAATGCATACAAAACTCTCTTCTGTCCATCATTTCCAGTATTTCAGGAGCCAGTCTACAGGTCCAACTGCACACAATTTCTTAATTTACACAATTCAATTCTCTGGGTTAGGCTGTAGCTGTATATGGAATGATTTAGTAACTTACCCACAAGCGATTCTATAACTACCCTGTATGCAGTAGCATGTCTGTGAAGCTGCCACTGAGCACAGAGACTAGTCATGCGGACTTGATAGGAATCCAAATTTGTTACACCCAGGTACACTGAAAATTAAATACGAAAAAATTAGATTTACACCTCTAATAAGACATACAAGAAAAATGACAAAAGATTTATGGTGAAACACTTCTGCCAATTCCTTTTTAACAAATAATTTCAAAAGCTGCTTATAAAAATGATGTCAAGAAAATCCAAAACAGGAAGGAAAAAAAAAAAGTGACTCTTTAGACCAAAAGTTTGGAACTTAAAGTCAATTTAGCTAAGACTAAATAACAAACACTGCTAAAAATTCAGTTACTACAAATAAGTATAGAAATATCATTATAACAGCAATATTTCTGTCAAAATCTAATTTAAAATTGAGCTTTAGATATATAAAGACTAAATCATATTATATATATGGAGCTAGGAGAAAAAAGACTAAATAGACTTCCCATTAAGGAGATTTATGTCTACTGCTAGGCAAATATATTTTGCTGATAAATAACATCATCTGCTTTATGACCCCTGTCTTGCTAAAATCCAGCAGATTATTTTAAAGCCTGATATAGTCTGATTAAAAAAGACACTTTCATTTCAGGAAAACAATTTGCACACAACTGAGAAAGTCTTCCACAGGAAAATTTATTCAGGGAGCTGCACAAAGCTGTAGTTATAGTGAAAAACAGCCTGTAGAGATCTGAACAGCATGAAATCATTCTTACAGGTTTTGGCTACGCCTGTTAGGGCATCACTGAAGCCTGTTGAGTATGAAGCAAATACTTTAACACTGTACTCCGTTCCACTGAAGAGATTTAGAATGAGAATGGTATTAATATCATCCCCTACAAAGGTCTCCAATGCAGGACCAGGAACTGCAAAAAATGAAATAAATTAGAAAATCATTTGCTCATCCATTGAATTAGCAGGTAGTTAAAACAAATCTTAAGACACATCCCAAATTACATATGCTCCTAAAGTTACTGCTATTTTTTTGCTTTTTTTTTTTTTTTTTACCATACACAAAACCAAAGACACTCTGCTCAGTCCCTGCATGGGTAGAAGCCACAGCGCACACTTGGGAAATTCAGCAGTGGGATTCATTAGGGCAGGGCTAGACACTGGCATCTGTTAAGACCCTTTTGTTCTGCTTCAGTGACTTACTACTGCCCTAAATAGGCAGCCAAAGATCTCCTCAGTTTGATGGTGTGCCAGGAGCAACTGGGGGGATGGCAGATGCCAGCCAGCAATACATTGCCTAAGGGGTTCTTATACAACAGCATCATTTAACACTGTGCAAAAATGATAATGAAAATAGAAAAGAATAAAACTTTCCCAAATCAGAACTGCAAACAGTTCCTTTGTCAACTCTCTTAGTTTTTTCTGGATACACTTCAGAAACCAGGCAACAGTATGGTCTTTGGACAGTATTTTAGTCCCTTAATGGTCACACATTTGTGTTTCACTCTCAATAGAGGACCGTGTTTTTCTAAAGAAATTTGAAGGAGCTTGGGTGCCTTGTCTAGCTGCAATGTGCAGGTGGGCAAAGGATGCAGCACAGACAAAATGGGAATTAATAAAATGTCAAGTATTTGGGAGGTGTAGAATGGGAGTAAAAGTCAAGGAAACTAAAACTTTGTATTGTGAGGGGAAGAAAGTTGAAGAATAGGAGAACACGGAACAGAGGAACAGGAAGAGAGCAAAGGTAGTCTCTGAAATAAATAGAAAGAGTCATGGTAAAATGACATAAAAGGACAGCCTGAAAGAGTTGGCTTTGATCAGCCTTAAGATGGGAAATCTAAGGGGGAATCTTACTGCTGCCTACACCTACCTAATGGAAGGAGGTAGAGAAGATGGAAACAGAATCTCTTCTGAGGCAAACAGGAAGGTGGTAAGAGAAAATACACAAAATTTGCAACATGGGAAATTTTGATATTAGAAAGACAATTTCACAGTGAGGGTAGTAAAAAACTGGAACAGATGCTTAGAGAGGTTTTGAAATCTCCATCCTTGGAGATATTACAAACTCGACTGGACAAGGTCCAGCGAAACCTGTTCCAAGCTGGCCCTGTTTTGATCAGGAAGTTGGACCAGATAATCTCCAGAGATCCCTTCCAACCTGCATCATTCTGTGACTATGAAACTTTCATATTCAAAACCTGAGACACCTAAGTTAACAGCACTTTCAAGGCTGTAATTGCAACTGTTAGATTTAAGTCCAAAATTCAGCAAAAGATCATGTCAAGACATCGTACAGCCAAAAACAAATGACAAAAAAACCTGCCAGTTTAAAAACTCACTGTTGATAGGTTTGTAGACAATCCTGTAACCCATTGTTGGTGATGGTGGGGCATCCCAACTGATACGTAATCTGTTGTACCATTCATCTGAGACACGCAAATTTCTAGGAGCAGACAGGGGTACTAAAAGGAAACCAAACTGAGCTTTTACAAGCTTATCTCATACAAGCACATGCATAAAACTCAAGACATGCACATGAAAACAGTGCACTACCCAGTACTCTCAGATTTACAGGTCCAATTGCCAGGATGAAAGCCTTTAATCAAATTCATCCTTGGCACTACACATCAGTGGATTAATGTTGATATCTTTAAGAAAGTTATACCAAGTTATACCAAGGATTAATTACAAACTTTGTTCAACAAACAATGAATTTTCAAATTAATTCCCAACTTTGCCCCTACATTTTTTTAAAAATGTAAGACAATTCAGAGATAATTATCTTTTATTTATATAGTTTCTTTCAATCCAAGAGCACTAAAGTTTTTAATGCATAAAGCATGCTCTTGTGAACTCTTAAAGCTTTCAAATGGAATCAAAGGAATGATTTACAAGTGATTTAAGTGTCTGCACAAATAGCACTTCAATTTACGCAGAAATTATGTAAATTAGGAGAATAATTCAATAAAATTATACTATCATGACTAGCAGTGCACAATGAGATGATTTTTTTACCAATATACAGTAGAGACGGAACTTAAGTTACAGCTGAGTAATCTTTTGGTACTTGGTCAGAACTCTAGAGATAATGCAATCACTTTTATGGAAAGTTCAGCAGCATTTCTAATGACCTTTAGGAAGTAATGATCTCACACAAAAGAAAATCTAACAGTACAATGGTTGGTTTGATACTATCCCAGCAGGCATTGTTTACTTCTTTTTCTGCATTAGTTGGCTTGTCACTGGTGGGCTATCTATCAAGGATTTATCAGCTTTATTACTCAACAAGTTTCTGCAAACTCACAGTGTTTGAATATAAAATACAATTTGTCAATTAGAAGCAACCCATTGTTTATAAATCAATGAACTGAGATTAATATAAAGCTCAAGTCATATAAGTCATGAAAAATAAGCCCCCATTTATACTAAAATATATTACTACAGCCAAGGAAAAAAGGCCAAAAGAGTAAGCCTTTCTTCATACATATCCTGGCCAAAGACAGGCAGAAAGTTTGTACTTACAAGTTTTGCCAGGAGCTGAGACACTGACTCCTTCCCCATCAGAATAGATTGGAGTGACGGTAACTTTGTATTCTGTATCAGACAGCAGAGGCTGAAGCAGAAGAGTGTTTTGTCTCCCAGGCACCATTACCTGGATGGTCAGAAAAACAGAAACAATCAAGCTTAATGACTAGGGCCAAAACCTTTTTATATCTTACATGATCCCTGACACCATGTTCCACTAGTATTGCTGTACAGCTAGCTTTTTTAAATATTTCTGATGCTCTATGGTAAAATAAAGTACTTAAATTATCCACCTTTTTAACAGATTTACTAGTTATACCTGAGTAAAATAAAAAGGAGAATGTACCTATGGGATAACACAGTTTTGTATTAAACCTGTGAGCCACTACAGCTCCATAAACCACTGGTACTATATGGATGGTTAGTACTTAAACAATTTTACTGTACAGACAAAATAAATCCTCTTATTGTATTTATTCCTGACACAAATATGACTGTCCAAAGCTATGTCCATTAATAAAGGTTGATTGTTATGTTCTTTGGGGACAGAAAATCCTCCTTCCCTAGGAGGAAGGAAAATTAATTCAGGAGATCAGGAAGCATGAACTGAGCAAGCAGGAATAAAACATGTTTGTCTCATCTGCATATAATCTGGGGACGAGGAAATTAAGGTAGCCATTTAGGAAAGGAAGTAGGAGTACATCCCACAAATAGTGGAGGATCCCAAACTGCCACGAAACATGGAAACATCTGCAGCAGAAGTCCAACCAGGAAATCTGGTAGAAGTAGAGAAGCTGTAGAAATCCCTCCAGGTAGTTTTGGGTGTGACAGAGCAAATGTTTCAAAACACTGAATTAAGCGCTGCTTCTTTTAATACAGTACAAAGTTTCCCCATAAGCAGCTATTTCTGAAACTCTTCAAGAGATTACTGTATCTTAGCCAGACCCTCAAAAACTACTATCACAATAGTGGTGGTAAAGCCTCACAAGTACAGTCTTGCAATCTTTTAACTTGTCAGTAAAATTTTAATCTCAGAGAGCCTCCAAAGCCTGGATGGGAGCCACCTAGCACATGGAGCGGACATGGTAAGAAAGAGAAACCAATCCTATGTTTCCGGCACCAAACCTGTGCTCTGAAGCCACATTGTTGGAAGCAACAGTCCCAAGGTCCAACCTCATATTTTGGACCATCCCTGGCCCATGTCCATTGTGTGTATCTGTCACCTGAGCCAGCAACTGCACGTATTTGGCAAGAAGTTGAGACACCTACAAGCCCTTTAAACTCAAGCGGAAAAAGCAGAAACTGAGTCTAAAGGTGTTTTGTTGTTTCAAAGAAGACTGATGCGTGTGATGATGGCAGAGAAAAATTTTCTGAAGCATATACTCAGACAAGAAAGCTCTCACCAGTTTTAACGCTCCAGGATACATTCAAACTACTTCTAATTTTGGCAAGTGATACACAGAAAGAAATTAATCTAGTACACTCAGGTGTTGAGGCTTGTCAAAAAAGTACTTCATTCATTGATCAAAACTGGACAAAACCATCTAAATACATGTGCATGAAAGATTCCCATGCTAAACACTTCCATACATACACTCAAAAGACACAAACCAAGTTTGTGAAAAAAGAACAACCAACTTTTTTGGTTTTTTAAGAGAGGGTATGCAAGCAGTGAGAACACTCAGTTTTCCACATGTGCACATCAGAGCTCTTCTACAGAACAATATAGTTTTCAGCAGTGAGAAACATTCTTGGCTTTAAGGAAGAAAAAAAATGTGAACCTTACAGTATGTACAGCACACCCAAGAACATACACGCAATTTAGGGCTTGACGCTTCTGTAGTGAAAAGTATTCTATTACATTTTCTAGTCCCTGATTTTCAGCCAATTGCATCAAGGATTAAAAAGCTTATTAATATTTTTATGGAAAGGGAGGAGTAACTGAAATTTGTATCACTAAAATCAAAGCCAAAAAACTTAAGCATGCACCACAGCATTGTCACACTATAGTATATTTAAGCCCAAATTCCACAAAGCTTTTGGGTTCTGCTTAAGAAATGTACTTAAACATATGAACACTCCCCTAAAAATTGAACATCTGTGTCATTTTATTGACATGCGTGTTGCACCTCTCAGGTGCTTGAAGCCACATGATAAAATACATTCCTTCCGGTTAAAATGTGCTTAATTTTAAGTATAATCTTATGTCATTCCTTATTCAGTAAAGTATTTATGCAGGTGATTAATTTCAAAGATGAAACACATGGTTAATCTGTTTGCTGAATTGTGACCAAAGATATTAAGACTCGGGAGTGTACTTAAAATTAAATAATTAGCAGAATTAGAGCCAAGACACCTACCTAATCTTACAATTTTATAGTTTTCTTCAATGAGATTTTGAGTCAACTCTAATATCCTTCTGATAGCCAGAATTTTAATACCTTTCCTACAGTTTTAATTTCCTTTTAAAATAATAGTTGTTGAATACTAAAACAGAACTACATTTTTATCATCCAACTGAATTTGATTAAGCTTGCCAGAGCTGAAACAGTAGATCTAGGATCTGAATTTCAGAAACTTTGGGTTTTTGTCAGCAGAACAGTACAATTTGCGCCATTATGCTGTGCAAGTTTGCCACCGTATTATACACTGTACTATCACATAGTTGAGGTAAATTCATAAAGCATGTTTTCCAGTCCAAAAGGAGACCACTACATTGAAAGTTCATTTTCAGATTATAGTTGAAAGAGATGGCTAAAAAGTAATTTTCTACCAAGGTCTCATAAATGATGAACGAAACCAAAATGAAAAAAGACCAATTCATATTTTTCTAGAAATAAGATATTCAACTAACTCCTTTTAATATTTTTTATGGATATAGTCTGATATAGGGCTAAAAATGTCAGCTGCTAGACATCAAAAAGAATATCCCATATTTTTGATATAACTGTTCTATGAACAGAAATGACTCACATGATGGACACAGAAGGAGAATGATATGGGGACTATTTTTGCATTCTGAGCTATTTACTAAGAAAATAACCTCGAACTATACAATTTAATCTCTTAAATGTGTCTACATAAAGCTACCTCAAAATTTTACAACTTAGTTTTTGTGGAAACCAAGCACTGCAATACTAAGATTTCCCCAATTAAAAAAAAAAAAAAAAAAGGCACTTGGCCTCCCAGAATTCTGAAATTATCTCAAAAATCATGAAATCTTAAAAATAATACAGCTAGAGATTCTTTTTTTAGTATTTGCTATACACACAAATGAGTACATGTAGTACTCATGTTTTCCAAAATCTTGAGCACCAGAAATTTTTTTTGTGTAAGAATTTTAATTTTGATCATCACACGGTATAAGAAAAATAACAACTATTCTTAGGCACTTAGATTAAGAAGTGCTGTCCTTATTGTGACATGTACAGGTTAACAAGCAGTATGAAAACTCTGCATTTGAACTTTAATTACATTGCTTTAGCATAAAATGAGACTTTTAGGGAAGGAGCAAAATTGCTGAAGGAAAAAAAAAAATGACTTAAGATTGTCCTGTACAAACATTTAAGAGTTGTTAAAACACAATCTTGGGATACAAAAAGGCCTAGGAGTAAAAGATCCCCAAAACAAAACAAAACCCAAATAAAAAACTTAGACAAATTTTAAAAGTACAGGAAAAAGAGGACAGGCAGCTGGTCTTTTAACTGTGACTTCTTTAAACATCTGTGTGACTGGGCCTTGATCTTATATTTGACTGCTGTTGCCTGCAGTGTAGCAGGTGCTGTGTGACTAAAACTTTGAAGTTCAATCTCACAGTAAGACCAAACATGGATCTTTTGCTAATTTCAACAGGTAATTTCAACAACCCAATTTCACATAAGGAGAGACCATGCCTTAGCAATCATTAAACGAACTTTTCAAGCTTATGAAGCCATTCACAAACCCCATACAGACCATTCTTACCGCTTCCTCAGCACGGTCACCTTTCGCAGTGAGATAGGTCACTCTGAACTGCTGAACATTGTAGTCTGAAATGTCCCATATCACCCTCAGACTTGAGGTTGTTTCATCACCTATAACAAGGTTTCTGATTCCTGTTCGAAAAACTAAAGCCAAAGATATGTAATTAATACTTTCTCAACTCTATTTTTAGATTTAAAATTATGCTAATTATCACCAAGTAGCTGCAAGCTCTACTGCAGTCACAGTGGGTCTGCAGATCCATGGTGCGGTAAACCCATACAGTTCAGTTCACTTGGGCTTAACAACATGAAAACTTCAACCATTTAATAAAATAATAATTATCCTATACTGCCATTAACATATATTACCCCATCTGCTTTGTTTATATTACTCAGCTTATAGAGTTTTAGAATAATCAAAACTCCACTGCAGCTGGAATGTTATAGAAGAGAAATAATCCAGAACCGTTGCTTCTCAAAAGCCAGTTTTCTAATTCCAGGGAAAATAAACAGAACACTCAAAACTAAACAAAATTCTGAAGAGTTTCCAAGCTCATATTTATAAAGGGAGAGAGAAGAGAGAGCTGAATTTTCCAAATTAGACTGTATTGCTCTGTAGTATCGCCAGCATCATTCAGAGTCCCTGCGCTGTGTTAGAGGTTGGCTCCTCACCCACACACGGCACACGCAGGAAGCTGGCCACACGTGGAAGGGTGGTGCAGGAGCACCACAGTGTGCACCTTTCACCAGCCACGTCCCTTGCCTGGGGTCTACACCTCCACAAGATCTGCCATGGCAGCGTGCTGACTGCATGGACCATCAGGAACGGGGGTTATCAGCTCCTTGGTAATATCACAGCTCTCTGCCCCTAGCTCTGGTGTGCTTCTGGGGAGCCTCAGCTCTTTGCGTTCAGCATTTAAACTGTTGACATCAGCTCTGTTTACCTGCTGTGGTGGGCTTAGAAGTTGTGGTACTGGTAGTAGTCACCGTGGTAGGTATTGTGGTAGTCCATGCAACTGAAAAACAGTACGCGGGTCACTAACAATTCAACAAGACATGGAAGTTACAGTATTTATCTTGTATTTCTAACTATGACAATGAAACTATGTGCTCACCCCCACACTTCAGGCATTTCAGAGACTACAAGGGAACTATTCATTTACTTTACTTTAGGCACATATATTTGCAGGATTAGCACTTAAATCTACAGATAACACATAATTATAAACTGTACAATTAAATAAGAATGCATATAGTTTCCCACAATTCTGGCTGAACTATGCATAATGCCTTCCACTTTGACCATTTGTTAAGGTTGTCAGATTAATTAAATTGAAAGTTTTTTAAGGGCGCTTCACTTCTGCCCATGCAAAAACCAGAAAGTACCCTCAGCAGCACTGGGCAATATCAGCATCATTTGGATGTGTAAGGGCTTCTTGTCTTAACAGAAGGTTCAAGATGATGTCTGCAATTAAATTACTAAGAATCAAATACCTTTTTGAATTTACAGGTGAAAAATATAGTTGTTTACTTAACCGAGTCACTATCTGTAAAAAGAGAATGGATAGAGCAATCTACCTGAAATGCTGGCCACTGTTTCGATTATAAACTGTAAAATACACTGTACGTGATTTTCAAGTTTTATCTTTGTTACTTCCATGTTAATATCACAGAATGCCTGTGTAAGCTTTTTGGACCACTATTTCAGCCAAGAGTGAATTCACCTCTAGTGAGTATAAATTACATAAATAAGAAAGGAAAGGGTATACTGTAAATGTGAAACATCTTAAATGAAATTCTTGTAAATTATTTACTTTAAGACATTTAACCCCCCCCCCCCCCGAATCTAATATATCTTCTCATAAGAAACCATGTTCAAAGACTAAATATTGAAGTGTAGGATGGAAGGATATCTACCCAGATCCAAAAGTTATTAATACCACAGCTCAGACAAGGAGCCAAACCATCATTTTGACTCAATGCCTTCTACGACACAATATTAAATAAGAAAAGCAAAAAATACAGTCAGCAAAGCCCTGGTGCTAAACCACCACATTCTTCAATATCATAGCTACCCAAAGATGGGTTATATTTTAAATATAAAATATATGCATTAAATTTAAATCACTTAAACATCTCTAAAATGTAAAATCAAGAGTTTGTCTTACATGTAGCTCCAAGAACAGCAACAACTTCACTTTCACTTTCATCATCAAAAACTGCCAGCAAAGAAACTTCATATTCTGTGTTGGGCAACAAACCCTCAATAACATGACTGTCTGTGTCTCCATTTATGACAACCTAAGTAACACAGTAAGATTAAAGAAAATCAATTCTGCAGTTGATTTATTTATATGAATTGACTGAAATGAAAGAAGGAAAATGGATTCTCCTTTAAAATAAATTAAATCTACACTTAGATCTGCCCAAAGAATTTATTGGCTATGTTGAAATAAAAAGTATCACAGAGTACATCTAGAAAAAACACTGTTAAGAATATTTAAAATGTATTTATTATTTTGTGGCTAGCTTGATTATTCTGATGTGTGGTCTTATACTTTCACCCACAACTAATTAATTGCTAAAACTGACCATATGCATTTCATCTGAAAATCACTAAAATTCAAAATATCCACTAATGAAAGAAACATAATAGAGTAGATTAACTTTCATTCATATTTCTATCATTCAAGCATTGTTATGACAAATGTATTCAGTGTCTCCCCAGCCTTACAAAACGCTGCTTCTATACCAGAATTATAATCCCAGTTACAGTTCGACACATCTGAATGCAACTTGAAAGAACACTTGCTGCAGACTTGAGGATTAGAGGAGATGAGCTGATGAGAAGTTTGCTATATGGTGTGATGTTTTAAAAAGTAATTTTCCTTATTTCTACCTATGACAGCAGCAGAAGATTCATATGTGCAATGTTAACTGTAAGCAGAAGGTTTCGCTCCAGATTTTTGTGTGTTTCTTTTTTTTTTTTTATTGGAAGGGATCAACAGATGGAAAGGAGTTGGAGCTAAAGGGACTGTACAGCAGAATGCAAGGAGCCTGAGCAGTAATTCTGGTGAAATGGGCTGGCTGGTTTTGGGAATAGTTTTTAGGTTACACACACAGATACTACAATAAAACATCCTTTCTCTAGGATAACACTGGCAAGTTTTTAAAGGCGGCCACTGTATACACAGAATCAAAATAAGACTTACATGGAAATCAAACAATAGATATATGCTGCATAAAATCTACTACAGCAGTTAGCAGAAACAGTGAATCACACTTTATTCTTTTTATTACCACAGGATATTTCCTGAGTTGGTCCTGGGGAAGAAGGACCCATAAAATAATCACAGACCTTCTGAACTCAGGTACAGAAAACAAAAGCAGAAAGAAATGAGTTGGGGCCATGCCTTCTACAACTATCAAATAATGAATTGGGCACCCCACGCTGCACACTTTCTGGGACAGATTTTCTTGGGAAAATTTCAGAAACAAGCTTGAGTGAATTTAGCTATATACCAAGTAGGTATAAGTAATACCTTCCTTTCCAATTTTCCAGAGCCTCTAGTCGTATATCAAATCATTATAAAAGAACTATACATAGTTAATATCTTACACATAACTGGCATACTTTCTGAAGCATAACTTCCATCAACCTCCACTCCCTGCTAGTTTAGCCCACAGATAAGACCACAAAAAAAGAACACAAAATGCTGAACTTCCAAGTGGAGAGGACAAATAACAGAAGCAAGAATAGTAACAAGCGCACGAGTATAACAGCATGCATTCTATACTGTAACCTAGAAATAAAAGGTGACTCAAATTTATTCTGGCTTTTTAGTGCTAACACCCCACTAAACGCTCCTCACCCATCAGCAGTGTGGGTGAAGTACGCCGAGAGGTGTATAATTCTCACCACCACCCCCTGACCCCACTCAGCTAATTGGCAAGTTGGGTCTTGGGAGAAAGACAAGGGGAGTGCATGCCGTTTCTCTGCATGACTGATCACTTAGCTGGGAAAGAAGCTTAAAGAGGCAACAGCCTGGAGGTATTGTGCTATCCTAGGCCTGACCCCATTAGAGAGGTCATGCAAGGAGAACAAGAAAGCAGCTTGGGCATTTTTAATATTTCAATGTACTAAAATATTAGGGCCTCCAGCGGTTCTTAGTGAATACAATGAACAAGTGGAACCTTAACAGTTGAAATATTTCTTGATCATTTATTCTCACACTCAAAGAACACATAAATCTCACTTAAAAATGCACATGGCTTAAAGGCATTCCCTGACAGCTACTATTGGAACTTAGACAGAAACAAATCAGTTCACCTACTGCAGGAGAAAATGCTAGGGGATGACCTGTGTCCACTCACTCATCTGCCAACTCCTTCTTTTCCCTGCTCACTCCTGTAATTTCTTTCTTTCTTGCGTGACTACCTCTCACTAGGTGAAAGGGAGGAAAGAATCAGGATAAGCTAAATTTAGAAAAAATGCCACATAACCTAATCTGGAATGACCGCTTTTCGCCCTAATAGATGACAAAATGATGCATGAAACTTAGGGTTGGTGGGAAATGCCATCTTCCCCACTGAGTTCTGTACCCAGATGAACAGTTTGTGGATGTGGCCTCTATTCACAGCGCTGATGCCAAGAGAACAAGATGTTTGAGAGAGTCATTAAAGATTGAGGAGTACAAAAGAAGCCAAAAGAATGAGTAAAAGAAAGAAAGGGTTTTAAAGAGGAAATGAGGCAGACTACAAAGATGAAAATTGGGAAAGGGAGAGAAAGCATATGTCTTTTTCTACTTGGAAAATAATAAATAAGGAATAAAAAAAGTAAAGGGATGAAAAATCATTTAAAAATTCAGACTGATGAAAATGGCACTGTGGAGAAGACGCATAAAGGCCTAGAGCAAAAAATACAGCATGAGGGGGAAAAAGAGAAAGAACTGTAAAGAGGAATAGAATCATAGAATCGTTTAGGTTGGAAAAGACCTTTAAGATCATTCAGTTCAACCGTTAACCTAACACTACCAAGTCTACCACTAAACCAATTAAGGGTAGGGTAATAATTAATCTCATGTTTCCTGGCTTGGTGGCTGGATTATTTTTTAATGAAAGTAAAGCTAGGAATCATTAAGGTTGGAAAGGACCTCTAAGATCATCAGTCCAACCATCAACCCAACACCACCATGCCTATTAAACCATGTCCCAAAGTGCCACGTCTACCTATTTGTTGAACACCTCCAGGGATGGTGACTCCACCGCCTCTCTGGGCAGCCTGTTCCAATGCTTAACCACTCCTTCCATGAAGACATTTTTCCTCATATCCAATCTAAACCTCCCCTGACACAACTCGAGGCCATTTCCTCTCGTCCTACCACTAGTTACATGGGAGAAGAGACCAACACCCACCTCACTACAACCTCCTTTCAGGTAGTTGTAGAGAGTGATAAGGTCTCCCCTCAGCCTCCTTTTCTCCAGACTAAACAACCCCAGTTCCCTCAGTTGCTCCTCATAAGACTTGTTCTCCAGAGCCTTTACCAGCTTCATTGCCCTTCTCTGGACACACTGTAGCAACTCTATGTCTTTCTTGTACTGAGGGGCCCAAAACTGGACACAGTAATCTAATAAATTAACTATGAGTAAACTTTTCCCATTGTAGTATTACATAACTAAAGCTTCACAGGCAATTTTACTGTGGCCAGCATATTAGACAAATGTGGAGCCTTATGTGAGGATATCACTGCTCTCACTCAGCTACCATCATCATCTTCACAGCAAAGTGAAGAACATGAACCTCTAAAAACTGAAGTAGCATCAAACAGCAATGTTAGTTCTACAGCAGTTGGCACATTACAGATTAGATTGATTATTCACAAAGGATCTCTTCTTTCCTCACTTCCTCTTCAAAAAGAAACTGGAATATTAGTTTGATTTTGGTTTAGAGAGCTTTGCAGTGGGGCAGATTTTTCTGTCAGTCAGTTGGCCATATTTAATTGTCAAAAGTTGCAGCAGAAGTGTCCTCAGAATGGAATTCACTTTTCCATCTCACACCCTCAGCAACTCAAGGCAACTCACCTCTTCAGATTCCCCCCCGTCCAAAGGAATCCATGCCAATCTGTAAAAAGCAATATCTGAAGAGGTGGGCTTCCAGCTGACCCTAAAACTATCTGTTGATGCTTCATCAATTTCCAAATGCTGGGGAGTTGGAACTCTTTCTGCAAAATATTATGCAAAAGAAAAGTGAGGTAAATTATTCTCTGAGACTTGCATAGATGGCAATGTCAAGCTTGTTATCATTTTACTTGCAGTTTGTTACAAAGTATATAACATGGGAGGTAGATAACAAAGGCACTACAGATTCTTTGCACACTTATTTGTACTTAGGGAAGTGTTTTTGTAGTTGGCGGAGGGGAACACGTACAATATACACTCTTTATCTGCTCTAGCTGGATAAGCCTGCTTGTCCTCTCTCCACTGAAGGAGCTCCATGCAACCCTCACTCCCTCTCCTTTCCTCAGAGCTCTGTGCACTACACTCTTCTCTTTTCCTCTACCTCAAAGCAAAGTCCCAATCTCTGCCCTTTCCAGAGACTCTGTGTGCATTTCCATGTGCAGTTTGCATGTATCAGCCTCTTGTTCCATACATGTACATTCTCCTTCCTTTTCCACTTCATGTTTCTCTTTCCTCTCTCAAAGTCCTTCTCTTCCCCATTGTTACATTGGAAAGCATTAATAAGTGTCATCAGCCATTTGTTTAATGCAGAACTACAGTTACAGAAACTATAACTGTGCTAAACAGACTATAGGAGCCTTAAATGTCATATATTTTCTCCTTTTGGTGTTCCAGTTTCTCTGTATGTATACAAGGTTCCACCCTTGATTGCCTAGGTAGTTCACTGGTTAAATGTAGGATTCAAAACTCATCACATTTCAGCTGGAGAGACAAATGCCATCACACTGAATGATGCTTCAGAAAGCTGGGGAGACAAACGCTTTACTAGCTAATTGCAATAAAAGATGCTTTAAAATGGCTGATTGTGGAAAGACTTAAGAAATGAACCTTATCCACACAAATGTTTTCATGATGTCAAGAGATTACTCCCATGAGTAAGGATGCAATTGGCCCCATAATAAGGGAGCAAAGAAGCCGAAAACCCCAATGAAAATAACAGAAAGCATTCCATGTACCTGAATTCACAACCAGAGACACTTGCTGTTACTCGTCTTACTTTCCAGTAAAGTAAGAGAGTATATAAATTCTTCTTGGATAGCCTTCAAAAGTTCAGCAATACTTACTTGTGGTAAAGCTGCCAGTAAGTGGTTCAGATTGTCCTTCATCATACAGGGAGAAAATAGCAACAGTATACTCTGTAAGGGATGTCAGACTTTTTAGAGTATGTGTTGAAACACGACCAACTTCCACCTAGAAAAGCATAATTTGCAATAGATATTGATCATACACTTTACATATCAGTGTCTGAAATTCTGCTGGGTAATAATGATACAGAAAGAGAATGTCATGTAATTAGTACAGAAATTCTGTGCAGTCATGAACAAGTATTAATTCAAGGCTATAAAAGCTGACAAAATCAATTAACATAGACAAACTAGAGAAAAGGAAAATGTTGTTTATGAGAAACTAGGGAAAAGGAGAATTCAGCCTTAGTAAGCCTAACTCGGTAGCTAACATATCAGCACTGCATGTTCAGGAACCCAGAAGGAGAAGGAACTTTTTGGGCTATTGAATCCAGTCCCTTCTCATGGATAATCATTGCATAAACCATTATGTTTAACATTTGTCAAGAGAAAAGATGACAGTTTCATCTGGTCTCTATCCAGGCTGCAGTTAACGTGACTTTGCAGGGATATAAAACTCAAAGCTGTATAAACTGACAGTTTATCAGTCCAACTATTCAGTGTCACATTAGCTCAATGCCACATGGGAAATGTTACTGATGCAAAGCAATCAAAAAAGTCCCACCTGCTCTTTGAACAGACATAAAGGAAGAGTTAAGAGGTAGATAAAAACCCACTGAACAATTCACTCACACTATAAAGTATATTACCACAAGCCTGAGATGTTCAAATACCATTGTGATGAGTACAGACAGACATACTATCTATATTAAGGATAATCAACAGGAAGAGGTCAAGTGATTTCTAATTCAAATTTTACGGGACCCAGCAGAAAGAAAAGACACAAAACATTCCACAGGTATGCTATCTTCTAAACTCAGGAACAGTTTCTTCAGGTTTAATATGAATATTCCATCTTGTATGGATGAAAGGCCAGATATATCCCAGAACATAATTACACATAACTACTATTAAAGATGTTTTTGGAGGGCTAAGTTATCCATGACAACTTATTTTATAAGAGATCTGCCCTGTTTTAATAATTGGGTGCATTTACTGCAACTATTTTTTTTAAATGTTTTCTGCAGTTTTTCATATTTCTCTATTAATATCATTCCATTCCATTTTTCATTCTATCACAGAATTCATGCTGCTATACACCTTTAGTAACAAGGCATAACTAAATATTGAATAAGTAAATTATTAAATGCAAGAGTCTAAGTTAGAACATCTTGGTATCATCATTCTGTTCAAGCCAAATCCTGTTTCTAGGAAGTGAGTTTTTCAATATATAATTAAAGCAATTAATGTTAAGAAAATATGGCAAAGCCTTCAGATAGTCTTTCTGAATGAACTTGAGTCCATGATGTATGATATATTAAAAGACTTGTTATCTGGACTGAATCAAGAATATATTTCCATACCATACATTTAGTCAAGATCCTGCACCTACAAACCATTGTTCACTTGAGTAATTTCTTTCAGTTTATGTGTGTCAGCAATGACTGGTATGTAAGAAGTTTAGAGTACTGTCTCCGACACATATGATCCACTCCAAATGTACACGTGATACTAAGCAAACTCTTATTTGCTTTAATTTTCAGAATTATTTAGCAAATCTTTTGTTACAGCTTGCAAGGTAGCTTTTGTTTATAAAAGTTAGCCTTAATAATTACATCAGTTTGGGGATGTCTGAGACTGGTTAAGGGAAGAGAGATGCTAATAATTTACCTCGTTGGTTTCTGTTCCATCTGTTTTAACGTACATGATGCGATAGCCTTTTACATTTTTGGAAGCAGGTTCCCATATTAGCTTAGCACTACTGTGTCCAACATCAGAAAATTTCAAGTTTGCTGGTGGACTTAGAGGCACTTGAAAAGGAAAGAAAGAAAACCATGAAAGTGATTCCAGGTTTTAGCTGTGAAATTTCTCATGTCTTGAAAATAAACAACACATTTTCCATGCAAAAATATATATCACCAACATTTATATTAAAAGACCTATATCAATGGAGCTACACAATTACTTAAAGGCAGGTAAAATGGCTTAGAACTTTGCTGAAACAGAACTTTCAGTCTTGCTAAGTATATCTCAACTAATAGTGAAAAAGAAATTCCATTACTGTTCATAGCAGATATCATAGCAAGATCTAACCTACACAATACTTGCAATAAATTTGTCTTTGTATTTGTAAAGTAATTTAATTCAACTAGACCTTTATCCTATATGCATTTGTTTTCTATGAGTGTCCCCGAAAAAATATTTCATGACAGTATATTTTGGCAAAAAAACTTTCTGAATCCTAGAAGTCTCTGACATGAGGGTAAGTTTGTCCAAAAGAATAACTAGCTCAGAAGATCTCAAGAGATGCTGGGGTTTTTTACCTCTGCTTAACCTTTCCTCTTTTATTACACAAAGAAGCTGTTTCCTAACAGCAACTCCAGTTAAAGCCACATTTATATACTGTATATTCCTTGACTGTCATGAGCTGAAGGAAAACGAGGTCATGCAAGAGAGTCTCAGATTCCATCCACTTTTCTTTCACACCAGAGAAAGCAATTTGTGCTGTCTGTTACTCTCAGCAGTAAATTCTGTATTAGCCCCCACATCTGCCTATTTCCTCCGAATCGTGAAACCTTTCTCTATCCATCCTGCCTTCACTGACACACTCCTCACCAATCCACACGGACAGATAAATATCAGCACTTCAGAAGCTGTTTCCCTCACAGAAGAACACATGGGGAAAAGCAAAAGACAAAAAAACCCATATATTATGCAGGAACTTTAGTCAGGCCATACACCAGCTCAGAATCTGCAAGCAAAATCCTCACCAGCTTAGGAACAGTCAAGTCAACTTGCCTATGAGGAAAGAGAAGATGGGAACAGATTGGAATTGTGTTACATGGGTTTGCCACACTTTCTGGCATTCAATATATTCCTCGGAGTCTAGTGAGGAAAGTATCACATGCTGGCTTTCTTTTCTACTTTCTGTCAGTTGTGAATGCATTTCATTTCACCATCCAGGACATACCACAAAATGCTTCAGTCTCAGCTCTTTCCTTTTGCAACCAACCTACTGACAACGTTGCTCTCAACCAGCCAGCCAGCCAGCCCTGCTGCCAGAGTTCGTGATATTTACAGTGAGTCTTGGATAAATCCTGGCCCCAAAAAGAAACCCCACCCCAGAATGAGCTTGCTAATCATGCCTCCGTTTGGCACTGAGAAAGGTTTCACTACGGTAACTGATACAGTGGGTAGAATAATATTATTTACTAAATACAGAATACCAGATACTACACATAATACTACTGCAAATTAGGCAGATCACTCTCCAGACAGATATATGCTCCAGGAGGAAAATACCAGGTAGCCTATTCATTAGTTGGAAGCCAGAAATAATCACACCAAAAGAAGAAAAAAACAAAAAAGTAGCTTAAATCTGAATCCAGACAGGGAAGACATTACCATTGAACACTGACATGTGTTCATGTGGGACAGGTATGTTCAACAAGAGGTTTCTTTCCTTCCAGATTGCCCCACTGCCTGATCAATCAAAGCCTGTTAGAAGAGGGCTTATTTGAATAGCTGCATATGGAAGGTTAGAATCAATCTTATTCCATATTACAGTGTTAAAGACCAGTCAGAGCTGGCTGCATTGAGTCACCCTAAAAATAGATGAAGGTTGCAGGGTAGTTAGGCTTTTTTTTATTCTGGTCTGGTAACAGCAGTGATGATGGGCTGACTAACATATGTTACTAGCTTCTGTGATCAAACACTGCGGTCATGAATCCTCAGCTTGTGCCAATGTATTTGGAATTTGCATGTGATCTTCCATCCAATGTGTTAGCCAGGTTTAGAGCTGTGCAGCCTCCAAGGTCATATGACGTGAAGTGAATTCAGGCTGGCACAGTCATAAACTACATAAACTACTGTTTAGGACAAACGAAAACCAGTTATTGACCAAAATCAAGAGGGGAAAAAAAAGGAGAAGGAGCGAGAGACAAAGAGAGGGAGAAAGGGACAGAGGGACAAAGAGCCAAAGATTTGATTCTCCAAGTGTTAAAATCTTCTATGCCCATTTCAAGTCCACAAACATGCCCAGGTTGCAGTAGTTTGCTATCAGCACTTGCCTGTCTACAACTGTCCTCTCACAGATGAGCCAGTTCAAACAGCATTCCTAGAACTTCTTCCCCCTTTACTTGCTGACCTTACAAGCATTTCCTCTGGTGCTTCTTTTCCTTAGCACTCGCATGCCTGAACTTCTCTCACCTATTACATGTAAGTCACTTTCACACTGGCTTACTCATGCCAGGAGCACAAAACAAGAGGAAGCAAGCACTCCACTGCTGGGAGCAATAGAGATGTCACTGAATGCAGTCCCAGAAATATCCCAGCAGCACAATCGCTTATTTTCAATTCCTTTGTCTTCCAAATGCTGAGGCTATTTAGAGAGCTGACATACAGTGCTGTGTACAGTTAGCAGAGGACAAAATTTAGCTGGCAAAACTCTTGCTGCTTATTAAAAACACACCATCTATCATGAGTGCACAGGCGCGTTCCAACCCTTCATTTACCAGATGTTAGGCAGCAGGGGTTGGACAGAAACCTTCTCCTTGCTTCTTAGAATTCTGTCTGTACTACTACTGAGCCAGAGGAATGAACTTCTGCACCTGAGCAGGCTCCCCCACACACCTCGTTCTCTGTCTATAGGGGGCTAAACAGAGCACTCTCAATTTAGGTGACCTTCATTCACCTTCAGCAAGTTCAGAAAACTGTCAGTAGCTCCACCAAGTTCAACAGGGATATGCACAGCACCACTACCAACAAGAGAGAGGAGTTCACAATCCTATTCCAAAAACAAGCGGTTTTGTAGTAACTCACATCCTCAGCCTCTATAAATTAAGTATTCGCACTCAGAAACTTAATTACAGTTAAGACCTTGCCCTATGGACTATTCAAATCAGATTTTAAGATCAGATATCTGCTCTAATATGTGCAAAGACTATTCTGAAGTTTTATTAACACTGAAGTGAATATAGATATGTGCTACCTACATGTAGTTTCTTGTCCTGTAAGGGGATCACTAGCTTCTTCTCCAAACATGGCGTAAACTGTGACTGTATATTCTGTATTTGGCAACAGTCCATCCAGTTCAAGATCTGTTGAGGCCTCCCCAATTTTTATCTAAAAGCATCATGAATAAAAAAGACACATTATTTCTGAATTAGCTCACAGTGGGGAAGAATACTATTTACACACTTGAAATTAGATACATGATCAAATGCTCTGCTGAGCATTTGTCTGATACTGTGCCTGTGGTATTGGGCCCAAGATTTGGGGATTTTGCACAATAATCAAAAGATCAAAATTGTCAAAGAGCCAAAAGCCAACATACAGGTAAGAGGACTTTCAAAGTAACTAGTCACATTAGCAATGACAAAACAGTCCTCTCTAGAACATGCAGCTACTAAGACCTTTTCATTCCCAGCTATACCTTGTTTCATCATAGGGCTGAAATTTCATAGGAGGAATTGATTTCCATGCACACTGACGTTCAGATTTGTTGCTATTTAAGGTGTGTATCATTTTCCTCCTCCACCTCTTCACTGAGAGCCACATTAAAATGGACTGACTTATTTATTGAAAAAAAGTCTTTCTTCGGGGTAAGGCTCAGTCTTCCTGAATCAGCTAGTTTCCAGGGAGGCCCCATTTTTAACAGAATTATGTGCTCACAGATGCTCATTTAGCAGAGAGCACAAGTCTATGCAAACTTTCAGTAGCTTCCTACACCATCCACAAGTTCACATGCCCCTGCATGCTTTTTAGTGTTCTTGCTTGAACAGAGATGTTGTACATAATCTTAATTATACATATAGAAACTTGCGCATAAAAACTATGTAAATCTCAGACCAGAAGTTCCATTGGAACTATGCTAGTAACTTTAGAAAAGTCTACTGTTTTTCCCATTTTACTGACAGAAGACTGGACTTCACTTTGTCCCACTTCCTTTTCTTTCTAAAAATACTTTCTAAAAATCACTTTTGATGGAAGGCATTATTTTTAAATTTAAAAATAAAAGTTGAACAGAACTAAAAGAAAACAAATAAATGTCACATCTGCAAATTTTATTTACTTCAAAGGTCCTGATGAGAACAAAGGCTAAACTTCATATTCTTCTGATAACACACTTAGAAAATATCTTAGTTTTACTTTATTTTTTCTTCCTTTGAGTGTTAGTTTTATGTGATGATACAGTATCATCTCATATATCATTTCAAAAGAGTCAGTTTAATTCAGCTGAAATTGTTGCTTTTTATGGCAATGACATATAAAAATAATCAACTGTTACTTGCACTTTATACATAGTCTGTAACACATACAGTACTTAAGGCAGGCATGGGAAAAAACCTCAAGTGTTTGCTGATCAAGTGGGAGGTTAAAGATCATGTACTAGTTTATTCTTTAAAAGATTTATTTTTTGAATAATTGCTATTCAAATGAAAGCTCAATACATCACCTCCTTCTCATCTGCTGCCAATCCTTCTGTGAGGGGAGCGTATAGGATCATGTAACCTGTGGCACCCGCTACTCCATTCCACTTCGCTCTCATGCTGCTCTGTGACACATCATACAATTGCAGATCTGATGCCATTGGCAAGGCAACTGCAGTGGAACAAGAGACAGACACTTCAGTTGCCTCACTTGAACAACCAGCTGTTTTTCAAACAGTTTATTTCACCCCAGGAAACACAAAGGAATATAGCTATCTCCAGGCACGGAAGTGCTGTCTGTATGCCACAGCTATGAAGAGTTGATTAGTACATAAAAGAACGCAAAATTAGAGAAACAAGGAAATGATGACCTAACCAATTCTAACACCAGGGCAGAGTTACCCCTTATAAAGGATTTCAGCTCTTTGTCTTAAATGGCTTTGAACATTTCAAGGGGGAGGATTTCCGTTCTTTAGAGCACCAAATCACTCTGTTCAGATCTCGCCCTTCCTTCTCCCTCATCTGCAGGAGGATGACCACTCACTATCAAAGAATGGGCACGGTTGCTATTAGGAACAAGCAGTAGTCCCCAGAGATGGCTCCTTCTGGCAACAGTTCCCAAGTCAGAGTGTGGGAGAGACAGCCATGAGGTAGGACACCCTGGAGGAAACCCTGAATGAGCACGTTGCGCACGTCAAAATATTTTGACTACAAACTATTGTGTGTTTAAGGCCTGGACTGTCCAAACTGGCTCCCAGGCCTGTGTCAGTGGGATTAGGCAAACGTGGGCAAGATCATCCATTGCAAATGATAGCGAATGTTAACCTGGTGAGTACAACTAAGCAGGCTGAATGAAATTCAAACATTATTAGGAAGTTTACTTGTGAATTTAAGGCACTGATAAGAGAACATAGCACTAATCTAGGTTCCTGAATATTTCTTTGTATTTCTGTAACTCTTTAGAGTAACATTTTGCACTTCTCTGATTGTCCTCACTTTCTTCCTCTCACAGAATAACACCCCAAGGCCTCTCCACTGCTGTTACATCCTTGATGGATCCCACCAAAATATTCAGTCACTGGAGAGATATAAGGGAACCTTGGCTGCTCCTTTGGAACTTCTACACTGCGAATAGTCCCTAAAATGACTCAAAGGGTCTGGAAAAAAACAGAAGGCAATTAGCAATTGATATCAAACCTTTCCTATTGGGAAGTCAGAGAGACTGTAATAGGCTGGATGTTAAGCCTCTACAAAGCTCTGCTTTGCATGTTTCTGAAGAATCTGATCTGCAAACACAGATTCAGCAAACAATTCTAATTACAACGCTAATAATTCACAGAGCTTCTCTAATCTCCTTGTCCAAACAAAAATTGCAGCCTGTCTAGCTGACATCTCTAAGGAGTGGCATATCTATTACGTTATGTTCAACAAGCTCTAACAGAACTCTTAACTTCCAGTACAAAAACATGCCAGCCTCATCCTTTCTTGTTCATTGAGACCATTCACTCAGTCTGTTGTTTGTTGTAAATGTCGGCAAAACTTCAACCCAGGCCTCTCTTTAGGTTTCCACTTCCAGATTACCCATCTATCTTCACTTCCAAACCTTCCACAGCCTACCTCCATCCTATTTAAACCCTTCTTGATGTGTTGACTTATATTCCCATGAATTCCCACACTTCCTCTAATTATAGGGAGAAACTACCCATAAACATTTTCAAATGTACTTCAGCCTCCTCCCTCAGAGCTCCACTCAGACCTCTGATACCTACAGAAAGAAACTGCACGTTGAGATATTCTGAAGGCACTTTCTACCACATTGTCTCATTCCTATTCAAACTGCCTCAGGATCACAGAGAGAGTATCTATCACCTGGCCTTTTTCTTATTTTGATTCTAAAAATCTACAAGAAAAGTAACCTCTAACTCTAACTTATGACTCATATTTTAACTCTCAACAGGAACTCCTAGATGCTCTAGCAATATAAATAATAATTAACCAAGAGGTGACCAGAAATTAAACAAATGGTGTTTTCTACTGATATTTTCAGCTGAAGAGCTCAGAATCTCAAATATAGATATCCAGTAGATAATGCTGATTTGCATCTTGGACAGTTACCAGAGTAGCCTAATATTCTGGTAATATCGGGATAAATCAACCTACTAAAAAACAACTGGAATAAACTAAAACAGTCAAAAATATATTTGCAGCAAATTAAAATGTGAATGCATTTCATATTTATTTCAAGTTAGAAATTACTATTAAATCAGAAACCTTTCCAGTTTTCTGTATGTTATGCATATTGAATGTGTCTACTTAGATTTCACATACCTGTAAGCTTTTTTCAATGTTCTATATGAACAAATGGCATTGGTGATTGTTTTAATCTGTCAGTATCTCACACAAAGGCAGGAATGTAAACTACAATTTTCCATAGTTCTCCATTAGGATAGTAAAAAAATACTTTCAAACTGCACGTATTTTATTATGTGGAGTGATTAATACTTGCACATGTCAGACTATTACTTCCAACACACTATCAAAGACAGCTTTATAAAATGCTTCATGCTGCATGACCTTGGGGTGTGATCTGATCGGATCTCAGAAAGCCAGCAGGGTTGGGCTCTGTCAGAACTTGACTAGGTGACTTCAAAGGAATACCAGGTACAAAATGAAACAATCCTGTTGGCTCAGTATGTGACTCTGTTCTCTCTGCCTCAATAAATTAAACAGGCCCTAACACCAAGTTATGGGGTATAACATGGCTGGAGATGACATTTTGGGAGACTGAAACTAAAATAGAAGTCTCAATTTTATATGATCCTATTTTATTTTCTTTTCAGATTGGGAAGATTAGCACTGAGACAGAATCAAAGAACCATTGAGGATGAAAGGCACGTCTTGAGATCATCTAGTCTAACTTCCCTGTTCAGTCAGGGTCAGCTAGAGCAGGTTGTTCAGAACCATGTCCAGTTGAGTTTTAAATATCTCCAGAGATGCCCACTCCACAACCTCTATGGACAACCTACTTCTGTGTTTGACCACCATCACAATAAAATCATGTCTTCTGTTCAGATTTAATTTCATGGTTTTTTAATTTGTGCCCATTGACTCTTGTTCTGTCAGTGGGCACCACTGAGAAGACTCTGACTCCCTCTTCTTCATTCCCTCCCATCAGGGGTTTTTACACATCGACAAGATCACCCTGAGCCTTCTCTCCTCCAGGCTGAACAGCCATAGCTGTCTCAGGCTCCCCTCTTATGAAAGATGCTCCAAGCCCTTCATCATCTTTGCGGCCTTTCACTGGACTCACTCCAGTAAGTCCACAACTCTCTTGTACCAGGGAGCACAGCACTTGACCCTGCATCCAAGTGTGGCCTCATCAGTGCTGAGCAGAGGGAAAGAATCACCTCCCTCAACCTGCTGAAAATCCTTTTCTAATGCAATCCAGAAGGCTTTTGGCCTTCTTTGCAACAAGGGTGCATTGCTGGTTCACAGTCAGCTTGCTCTTTACCAAGACCCCCAGGTGCTTCTCTGCAGAGCTGCCTTCCAGACAGTCACCCCCAGTGTATACTGACTGACACATGGGGTTATTCCTCCCCAGGGGCAGGACTTCGCACTTCCCTTTGTTGAACTGCATGAGGTCAAACATATTTTCCCCTTTATATACCCATGCTGACTAATTCCAATCACCTCCTTGTCCTTCATGTGTTCAGAAAAGTGTTTCAAGGATTAGTTGCTCCATCACCTTCCTTGGGATTGAGGTGACAATGAACCAGCCTGCAGTTCCCCAGATCCTGCTTCACAAAGGACTGACGTTTGCTTTCTTCCAGTGTTCAGGAACTTCTCCCAGTCACCATGACCTAAGGATAATCAAGACTGTCCTCACAATGACATAAGCCAGCTCCCCCAGCACTCACAGGTGCAGCACATCCAGTTCCATGGACTTAGGTGTATCCAGTTTGCTTAAGTGCTCCCTATACTGGTATTCCTCAAATGAGGGTAAGTCCTCCTTTCTCCAGACTTTCCCACTGATAGCAGCAGCCTGGGATTTCTGAAGGCCATTTTAACCGGTAAAGGCTCAGTCAAAGAAGGCATTGACTACCTCACTGTTTTCCACTTCATTTGTCACCAGGTCCCCTGTTCCATTCAGGAGTGGGCTCGTGTTTTCCTCAGTCTTCATTTTACTGTTATGCACTTGCAGAGTCCGTTCTTGTTGCTCTTGACATCCCTTGCCAGGTTGCTCCAGGTTGGCCTTGGCTTTCCTAAACTTACCCCTGCAAGATCAGATAGTAACTCTATACTTCTCCCGGGTCATCTGCTTCTTCTTCCATCTCTTAGCACTTCCTTTTTATGTCTGAGTTCTGTTCGGCATTGCTTGCTTATCCATACCGGCCTCCTTTGCTTGATTTCATACTTGTCAGTATGGACCTTTCTTGACCTTGTAGGATGTGATCTTTGGGTACCAAGCTGCTCTTCTGGATTCCTCTTCTTCCAGGGCAATATCCCTTAGGATTCTTCCAAGCACATCTCTGAAGAGACTGAAGATGGCTATCCTGAAATCCAGAGTTGTGGTCCTGTTTTTGCACTCCTCCCTCCTCTTAGAATCCTGAATTCCACCATCTCATGGTCACTGCAGCCAAGCCTGTGACTTTAACCCCCTCATCAGTTATTCCTTCATTTTAAGTATCAGCTACAGCACAGCACCTTCTCTTGCTGGCTCCTCAATCACTTGTGTCTGGAAGCTGTTGTCAAAGAACTGCAGAAATTGTCTAGATTGCTTGAGCCCTGCTGTGTTGTTCTTCCAGCAGATACCACCTATTGATATATCACATATTGACTTCCTGGATCCTAATCTGAACTAAAGTTACTCTTTATTTCCATTCCTAATATCTGTCATATTTACTAAAAAAGTAACTGTACTTTGTATACAAATGCATAAAATTTATATGATCAATAGCAGCACATTATCTCTGGTACTAGCACAGTTTTCATTATAGAACGCAAAACTGTAAATGTATTTGTTCTAACACCATCCCAAGTCACCATTTTACAGAACTGAATAAGTGAAAAAGGAACTTACAGAAGTTGAAATCTTTGGTGCTGGTGGGAATCACGTGCAGGTATTTCTGGTCCCACCTAATCCTCCATTCATGAGATCATCTTCAGCCACAAACCTAATTTATAAAGCTTGGCTCCACACCCAAAGTGTAGGATTGTTCTAATTTAGGGTTCAATACATCCAACTTCAAAGTTCAGCCCAGAGATAAAAACTTTCTCAGTGTTTAAATATCCACAGAGCACTTGGACTTAGGAGCTTAGCCCAGAATTAATTCAAACAGAAATTACTTCAAGGCTAGAAAAGAAGCTAAATTGAAAAAGACTCCCTTCTGCATTTCTTTTTCACAAAGACTAGTGCTTACACAGTGTGATTACATGCAGTCAAATCCATAATGAACATGATAAGGATACTTACGTGTAGTTTCAGTTCCACGGAGGCCTTCACTAGCAGCATTTGAGTATATAGCAAATACAGCTATCTGGTATTCAGTTAAAGACATCAGGTTTTTCAGAACTGCTGTTGACAAACTTCCATCTACCACAACCTGTTTAGAAGAAAATTCAACTAAATATGCATAAAGCAAACTAACTATATTACCATCAAATCAATTAATCCCTCTTTCAGGCAATTTTTACACTGGCATCTAAGAATCAATATACTAAAGCTCAATTCATAAATCAAATTTGTTTGGGCTACCTTTATGTACAATAAGGTGTCTGAAAAAAGAACAGCAACCATGTACATAATCAAAATGTTTAACTGATATAAGTAGCCATTTAGAACAAAGGAATTGCTTAGATAAATAAAGTGTATGGAATACAGTTTAAGAGTGTATATTGGGCACTTTTTGATATTACTACATCATCATAAATATTGCTTTAATACTACATATGTACACAAACAGTACTTCAAATTGACATTAATACATATCCATACTAAACAAGTTTCTGGTACAAAAAGAAATAAAAGATATCCTTAGCTAAATCCTTTTGCTCTTCTGCCTTTCCCTTCAATTTTTGTCAGCTGAAGCCAAAGCTTGTTCTACGGCATTTTTTGCCACCTCCAAAATGCCTAAGTCCTATTCAAATAAACACCTCCAAATTTTCAATGACCAGTTGTAGACATCCCAAAATATACACCTGTATCATCTTCCTTTCATGTATTATCTTTTTCTTAGAACTGAAAATGTGGCTTCCCATCAGTTCCTACCTCTTCTGTTCTTGTAAACAGAATGGTGCAGGGGAAGTCTATAGAATTGGTTCAAGTAACCACATGTGTAAGCAAAAATGCAGGCATTTCCCGCCCCAAACCGTGCTCATTGTTACAGCACATTTACTTTAAATTACATGACATAAAAGCAGCCTGGCTACTACCTAACCTTCCCCCCCCATCCAATGTGACCATATCTCCTTTCTGTAGTGGGCTTCAGAGCCCACACAGGGAATTTCAGGGTAGATTTAAGTAAGGCCATGAATTTTCTGTCTAGTTAGTTCTTGCTGTTGTATTAAAAATTTCTGGGAAACTTTTCCTTCTATTACCTCTTCTGGTTGTCCTCCTCGAGTAGGATAGTACACAACCCTGTATTTTTCCACTTTGCCTGGTGCATGGGTCCAGCTAACCCGGAATCCTCTAGCTGTTACCTCAGATGTGACCAAATCCGAAGGAGCCCCAAGTGAAGCAACAATTGTTCCTAGGTTAGAGACAACAGAAATTTTTCATTCCCCTCTGCAAAATAATTATTTGGTTTGTTGTATTTGCTGAAGCTCCAAAGATTGCTCCTCATCAGCAAATCAAATAGTTGGCTACTGCGCATTCGTTTAGGTCATTTTCAATGGAAACAACTAATAATGAGTACTGCATATGGAGTTTTCACTGGGTCTAAGCCTCCCTATTCTTTCATAAACCTTTATATGAAAGAGACAAAAATACAAAACTAAGCCTTCCCTGTCCTTCCTCCCATCACTCTTTCAAGCCCTTCCTTTCTGGTTTTTTTTTTTTTTTTCAGGTTGCCTTCCTCCCCATCATGAAAAACATCCAAGTACATATACAGCTGTGGTCTGTGCTCCTCTGCAGGTTGGAAACTGATACGCTGCCTGTCAGCAGATTGAAGAGATGTAGTGAACAATCATCTTCTCTGGCAATCATTCCTTTCCACAAAGATGTCTCATCTCTATGGTTTTTCCATCCTCTCCCTCTCAATTTCCCAATTGACTTCTTTCTCCCCCACAAGACACAGCTAATATTCTGTATTTCTTCCAGTTTCCAGGTGAACAAAAGAGGGGAAAAAAAAAAGGAATGAAGCCTTACTAATACACAGTTTTTCATTGCACAGGTAGAAATATGTGTGAAGACAGCCTTCCTTACTCATATGTATTACAAGCTTATTGAAAAATCACTCAGCATTTCTGTGATAATACAGAATCGCAAACCAAGCAATACAAACAAAATCCACTGAAGCCTTTCAGAAAGAATTTCCTCAGGTAGGACTGTTTCTCTGACAAATTGCAACATTTTTTGACAGCCATTTCTTTTTTCTTCAGAAAAGCAAAAAAAACACTATAGTCAAAGAAGAGTTTTTTATATACAAACAATTTGCTTCACCACCATCTTTTCTTATGCTCTGAAATATATTTTTTGTGTATTAAGTAAGAAAGAGGAAAAAAAATCCATCATCAGGAAGGGACAAAACAATCTTAATACTTGAAAATTTTGAAAACTTATGAGACAATAAAAATGGTAAGTTAGGAGATGGAAATCACAGCACAAACATAAAGATTCCATGTGCAGCTGTTAAAGTAATTCATCCCCAAACCTGTGTATTATAAAATTATTTTCCTTACCCACCACTTGGAAATAGTTAGAGCAGAATGAATGTATATTTTTGTATTTTTAGTACTACCAAATACCATAACATTTACCACTATCAAAGACAAAGAGCAAAAGATCAAAGATATCAAAGAAAGAATAAAGTATACATAGGAAGATAACTTTCCTGACAATGTACTTTCTTGTGAGCAAAACAATATACAGCATGAGTCAAGTGCCAGAAGCCAGCTTAGAACTGCAGGTATTTGGAACAGGATTTACAGCTCTAAGTTCATATTAAGTTACATTAGATCCTGTTTCTTATTCACCTTTGATTTCCTTTTCCTGTTCCTCTACTCGTGAGCACACTGTTCTGGTAAGACTTTCAACAATGGTATGCATGAAGTTAAAGTCAGCAACGTTGTAGACGTGTGTGCTATCAGGTTCAGAGGCAATCTCTTTGAGTTCATTTATATCTGCATTCTTTACACCTTTTATTGGAAAGAAAAATAAAGAAAATATTGGAACAAAAAAGAAAAAAAAATCTTGTACGCACAGGGACTGATAAAAAATTACTAAAATCCAATCCTTTCTATTTGTTTTAATGACCAACTACAGATTGCTCTGTTATTAAGATGTTCCTTCAAGATGTTATTTTCTGCCAGCATAACTGGCATTTTTTCGGCTGTCTCCCGATAATGTAGCATCCATGTATACTGCTAAATTCCAGTTATAGCAGCAACGAATTGGAGAACATATTAAAGAAAATTTAAATTAATGATGATACTTACTGGATACAGACAGAAAAGAACACTTCCTTAAGAAAGAGGGCAACAGATACAAATATACCAGAGTATGAATGGGTCACAATATGTTGATATGGCAGAATACACACCAATAGCAAACAGCTCAATGCCAGCATCTCGCAAGTTTTTAGCAGGAGGGATAACATCATCTTGGGACTTCCCATCAGTGATCAGTATACCGATTTTAGATACTCCAGGTCTTGCACCTGCTTCAGGCTTAAAGCTGTTTTCCAAAATGTAAGTTAAGGCAAGACCTAAAAAAGGAAACATTTTAAAAGACTTTAAAAGGGAAAGTGCCCATGAATTTTGCTAATATCACAGTGTTTGACTTTCCATTCAGTTTAAAAATCCTGAGAAACCTTTTAATGAAGAACAAGTATAAAAGAAGAATTTATTTACTGAAAGATTAAACTCCCACAAGCAACCTAAATTACAGAGCAGGTGACATTCATCTTTAGCAGCCTTTTGATCAATCAATGTATTATAAACTGACTGAGGAAACCTAAATTGATCTTCCTGTGAACACATCATCTTTTCTTTCTTACTCTACAAAGTTAGAATAGGAAGTCCCCTCTCCTTCTACCTACATTGCTTATATGAAAGCACAGGCTCTGGATAGCTTAGTAAATCCCCATACTACATACAATCTTACTTTCATTTGTTTGTTCTTTCCACTTTACAAGCTGAAAAAAAGCTTAAATAAAGCTGAGGGAGAATCTGATTTTAACACTGCTACTTATTTAAAGGGAAGGAAGAACAACTACTCCTCAGGACAAACTGACACATCCTCAGCACAAGAAGGACATGGACCTGCTGGAGCGGGTCCAGAAGAGGGCCACCAAAATGATCCGAGGGCTGGAACACCTCTCCTATGAGGCCAGGCTGAGAGAGTTGGGATTGTTCAGCCTAGAGAAGAGAAGGCTGAGAGGAGACCTTATTGCAGCCTTTCAGTACTTAAAGGGGGCCTACAGGAAAGATGGGGAGAATCTTTTTAGCAAGGCCTGTTGTGACAGGACAAGGAATAATGGATTTAAACTAAAGAAGAATAGATTTAGACTAGACATTAGGAAGAAGTTTTTTACAATGAGGGTGGTCAAGCACTGGAAGAGGTTGCCCAGAGAGGTGGTAGAGGTCCCATCCCTGGCAACATTCAAGGTCAGGCTGGATGGGGCTCTGAGCAACCTGATCTGGTTAAAGCTGTCCCTGCTCACTGCAGGGGGGTTGGGCTGGATGACCTCTAAAGGTCCCTTCCAACCCAAAGCATTCTATGATTCTATGATTCTATGAATAAGAACCTATCTGAAAACTCTCTTAAATCCCCCAAAGCAAAGGTTCCTAACTCACCTTCTTCTAACATCCATATAAAATAATCATGACAATTTATTACTTGCTACCTCACAGTAACCTCATTCCTAGAATCATACTAGAGTCATTCTGTCCTTTGTCCCACAGCAATTACTCCTTCTACCAAAACAAAGGCTGTTGCAGAAGAGAATCTGTCACATTCTTTCTCCCCTTCCGTCCCTGCCAAAAAAAAAAAAAAAAAAGGAAAAAAAAAAAAAGAAAAAAAAAGGAAGGCAGCAATTTACTTAAAGCCATGTCTGGGTCTTTGGATATATCATTCTCCTGGCAAGACAGTCAATATTGCTAACTGCTGCTTTGATGATACTGGAGTTGTATTCAGAGACTGTATTTTTCCAAGGTTGACAGGCATCCCCCATTTATCCATCACTGAGTGTCTTCTGGGGCTTCAGTGCTCTAACTACTAAAAGGTCAATGGAAATCTAAAAGCCCCAGGTGATCATTTGAAAAGTTACTATTGCCAGCTGTCAGATATTAAAACAACATTCTTTCCTTCCCCAGAATAAAGCTCTGTGCATGAACATTATGAATGGATTTTGCATTTTCTTCCCAGCAGGTAAGATTTTACTTCCAGCACTGAGAGTTCATGTATGCTTTGTTTTATGAGACCCTGTCCTGACCAGAAAGGTTCCCAGTGAAGCCAATGAGACAAGCACTTCAGAAAAGACTTCATTGACATTGGATAAAGCCATTAGCATGCTGCAAAAACCCTATCCTTTTTACCCTTCATAATAAGCATGAACACTTCTTAGTCTGTGCAGCAAAATACGTTTAATAAAAGGCAAAAGCTAAAACATATACCATACCTGTTAATGTATTCCCTCCCTTATATGGTAGATTACGGACTGCATCCAAAACAGCATCTTTTGTGCCATAGGCATTCAAATGCCATTCAATTCGGGGATCACCACTGTACTGTGCAAGACCTAAAGAACCAGAAATTAAGGTAGTCCATTAGACGATAAAGCTTTTTTTTTTTCCCAAGTATCTACATTTTACATATTTTGTTACCAACAGCTTACTATAGTGAGCTTACCACAAGTAGCTTTCCTACCATACTAGAAAAACTGCATTGCTTGATGGCACAAAAATAGTATAAATTTGTTCTTAGTGGCAACTCCACAATGCATTTTCAAAGCCTTTCTTTCAAGTGCTAATGAAAGTAAATGAGAAGTACACAACTTTTTCAGAGTTTAGTAAGATTCCAAGAAATTGTTTTTTGAAAAAGAACAATTTTATTTAATATGCTTTCGAACAGACTAAAACATAAGTAGCAGAACAGAAATATAACATTTGAGCCAGTTTAAACCATAAGAAAAGCCATCCATTGGCACATTCTTCCTCTGAAAATTAAACTGCAAGGTTTTGATCTAATGCTGACGGAAGTCAGTAAGACTGTTTCCACTGCTTTTTCTTTTCCACTGACATTGCATTAGTTTACTTAAGCTGAGTATCACAGTAAACTGTAAGGAATTAATACTACAAACATTCCAGCAGCATTACTATTATGATAGAAGTGCTAGTTCCAGGTGAGGATAAATCTTGAACAAATAAGTAGCATTAAGCTGTTAACTATCCTGAAATCACAAAATTTTTACATTGCTACAGAAATACTAAGAAAAAATGCGGCACCTTACCTACTCTTGTTTTCTCAGATCCAACATTGAAAGCGGAAACCAGATTTTCCAGGAACAGTCGAACAAGTCTGAAATTGAATCTGCCAATACTCCAAGAACCATCTACCAGTATCACAATATCTGCAATTGCTGGAGTTTTACAGGTAAACAGGCTTCCTGTAAATCATTAAAATGAAAACAATATTGTTAATCCAACAATAAAACTGTAACTCAACAAGTTTATACCTTTCTCCCACTAAACTTAATACTTAAAGCCTTCTTCCATGGGCAAAGTGAGACATAAGCAAAATCACTAAACATATTTGTTCTAAATTCAGTAATAGAACAGTTTGGCCACTATCTACTTCAGTTCTTTCATTAAGCTGTTCAGAATTACTGTTGGGAGACTCATGAAAAAGAAATATTGCTTCTAAAAATACAATACTTCAGAAAAAAAAAAAATTAACTGTCGTATAACACAATCAAACCAGCAGTTCATTTTCATTCTCAAGAATATCCATACACAGTATACAGTTCATGACACTTAACTTAGGTGTAGACAATGCAGAGAGCGCTACCTAGAGCTGCAGACACCCAAAACAGTTATCAAGACCCCTTTTATTGTCACCATAGAAAAGCAGGTGTTTCTATACATCTCAACAAATCTGCAGAAAAACTTCTTTAGCTGCCATTGCAGACTTCTAAAGTTAGAAGTGAATGTCACCCTGGGAGACTAAAGTAAAACTGAAGGTCAACTGAATATGCTGCATTAAACCTAAGTAGGAGGTACTCGATACAGCAAAGGTTAAATGCAAATACCTTAGATTCAAATTCACAATCCCTATGAGAACTAGCACCTCATGAAGATTTAGTCTTACAGATATACAGAAAAGTACACAAAAATAAAAGTATTAAAAAAGCAACTGAAAAGACCTGATGAGAATTAGCAGAGATGCATATTATTAGTCTCTAAGGTTTAGCTAACCAATGGAGAAATCAGAGGAAATGGGAGTGGAGATTAGACACACAACGCAAGATAAGCCAACAAGAAGTTTTTTAGGGATACAGATTCTTAAGAAATTGAGGAGCCTAAACAGAAGTGCCACATTCAGTTTGAGAAAATGACAGGAAGGGAAGTAAGAGAAAGGAAGACGTTTCCATAAGCTCAGAAAGAATTGCCACATCCCACAGGAGTGGCTACATGACTGTAAAAGTAAGGTTGCTGAAATAGGGGATTCATATGGTAGGGAGGGAAAACAAGTCAGTGATGTTACAGAGGTATACCAAACAAGAGCTTATGTTTGAAGTATAAAAATAGCAAACTCCCCACCAGATTGACTACAGAACAGAGATGGAACTAGGAAAGTCAAAGCAAAGCATGTTAGTAGAAAAGGCATCGTGCACCACCAACCATTTAGGGATGAAAATCATGTCCCTGAACACAGTAAAAAAACCTGCAGATTAGTGAAGTAAGCTGCAGCCCAACTGTTATCATCATTTTTTTCAGGATCCACCAGATAAATTAGTTGACAAAAGATACCAACACCTAAGGTGGTACTAACAGGAATCACCAAATACATTGTTAGAAATAAATTGATCTTGAGCAGAGATGCTCAGCAGATAAAAGAAGTAATTCAGTGAGAAATAATCAGAAAGGTGCCTCCATTAGCTCACAAGCAGCTCTCCTGTTACAGAGAGGGAATAAACCACATGGTTAGTAACTTAAAACTTTAACATCACATTATTAATGACAACCTTTTCATTAGAGACAAAATGATAGTCTCACAGGCATAAACAATCTGATGTGCAGAAGGACTTCAAACAATTGGTAATAATTAAGAGTTAGATTCGTACTGTAGTGTAAACCCACTGAGCAAGAAACCCAATCCATAAAGTTACAGTTAATGTCTTAAACGTGTACTAAAAATGTTTTTAGAAGAGCAGGGAACATTTCCTACGTGCAGCTAGCAGTGTAGAATAAGTTCTAAATGCATGACAAAAATTCCACTTGCAAAGATGCCAAAACAAATATTTTATTTTAGTTTTTACAGTACAAGACAACGCTATTTGAATTGGCAACACATTTTAATGTATAAACACTGCGGAACATTTAGTAAGCATCAGAAAAATGATCTTAAATTGGAAGATAAATCCAAAGGAGGTCCAAATCTTTCTATCACTGAAGTCAACGGGAAAACTTCCCTTGATTTCAGCGGGACTGGAATCTGTTTTGTGATTTAATAGGAACTTACTGGTCATGGCAAAATTCATGTTTTAAATATCTTTGCCAAATAAACTTCCTGTTAATCAGCTTGCATTACTTGAAGTATTTGTCTTCCATTAACATGCAGTTCAATTGTGCCATTCTCACACTGGCCATGATTAGCTGCTTAAGCTTCAAAAGAACTATTGGCAAAGTAAAATGCTACTCAACACCAGTAAGAATGACAGAACTGGACCCCTGATTCGCATCCAAGCAGCTGTACTGTAGCACAGATGTACATTTTCAGTATGATCCCAGCAGTTTAATCATATAGCCCAATGAGGATAACAGGATTTGTGTGGCTGTATTTCCCTTCTCTACTTCCAAAATCTTACGCATACTATGAAACCCAGTTAGTACCCTAGGTCTTACTCATTTCATATCAACAAGTTTTGCCTATAAGGTTTCTTTAATCCTGTAGTGATGGCTTTGTGAAGAAAACCTTTGATTGGTTTTAGTAAATCCATTCAGTGCAGCAAAACCCAAAGAATAAAGAAAACAATAACGGCATTCCTTTCAATATTTTATTTCCACATCATCAGATCGGTGCAAATAGTATCATTCAATTATTTTTTTGTTAAAATAGCATGTGTGGTTTGATCCAAGATTGTACTGCAATGTCACAGAATGTGAAAATTTGATTCATTCTTCGCAGATAGGAGATACTTGTTGAATCTTTTCTGCATAAAACATTTAGGTTTTGTTACTTCTGTACACCCACTATTTGCTTATGCTTTCTCCTTGTTGTACTTAATAGAATTGTAGAAAGTTCCCTAAAATGGAATAAACAACAGTGAGATATTAAACAGAATAACATGCTGTAAAGAAATCTTCAAAACCTGATAGGAATACAAACACCGTATCATCCTAGTTTATAAAGTTAGTCAAAAAGACACAGCGTGTAGCAAATAATTTACACACCCCACAGAGATTAGCTAGTTTCCATTACCAGTTCTAGCAAATGTCTTTTTCAATAATCTTTCCATACAACCATACATGGTCATGAATTCCTATAGGGTCTGAGGATAATTTTGAACATTTCAGCTATCTAAACATAACTTTAATAGGCAATCTTCTCAAAAACATTTCTTAAAGGAGCATATAATTCCATATTAAAAAAGCTTCCAAAACTCAGTGTTTTAGCCCACTACAAGTTTCAATACTGTGATCACGTTGTGCACATTTCCCTTTTACTCAGGAAAACAGCAGTGAGAGAGAAGGTACCACTTCCCTCTGAATTATACAGTACTCACCAGTTTCAAGAGCAGGACAGTAGGGAGGACACCAGTTACCTGATTTTGTATAATGTTTCCTAATGTTATATAGATAGCATTATTCTACTCCAAGTACTGCATTCCACAACAAACAACAACAGAGCCTGTGATTTTTTAGGTTAGAGAAAATGACAGAATTGCAAACATCCTAAAGTCAGAAAAAGAGCTATGTATTTTACACCAGTAACTGTCTTCAGTGCATCCACCTACAATGGGTGGAGGACTTTGATGGGGAAAAAGTAAAAAGAAATTAATGGACTTTCTATAACAAATTAACAATCTTCCTAGTGTTATTTGGCAAAATAAATTTGCCACTCTGCCAGGAAGCTAACTGAGGAGGAAGGGGCTTGGTCTGCTCATTTCTGCATGTCACAAATGAAGGCATAGGCTCAAAATTTCACCTCCAAAGACACCAGCATACAACCAAAGGCTACCAGCAATGTATTAGGACAAGATATTTGCACAAAACCTGCTTCAGTACTGCCAACAGTCATATCATTATCAAGAATTTCAGTTCCTTTGTTTCAGGGAAATCTTGCAAAGAATAACCAGCCCTGAAGCAATTTTGCATCTACCAAATGACGTTTCCTGCCTTTGATCCCTCAAGCCCCCAGACATTAAAGGTTACGCATTTGCTTGCAATTCCAATATGCAAGTGCTATAGCACTATCAAGACCTATGTCAGAGTTTGTCTGAGAGTGAAGCCAATGATGGCAATGCTGAAAAAAAGATCCAGCTAGGACTTTCTGGGATAGAGGGAGAGTTATTGGAGCCTGCAAAATGTGACCCTTGAGATGTCCTATTGAGGGGAATGAAGTGCAGAGTGAGGACTGGGAGAGAGAGAGTGCACAGAACTAAGCACAGTCTACAAGCTTCTGTAAACACTGACGACCTCTCTGAGGCTGCATTTTCAACCTGTTGCTATTCTTTCACACATGTATTCAGTGAGCAAGTGAGTAATGTTAAAAAATAGAAGTTTGACCAAAAAAAAATGCAAGCCTTACTTAGACACAAATACAAAACTGATTTTTTAGACTAGAATAGTGGCTGTTTGACTCTTGGCATTAACACTGGTAGTCTTTGAAAGTTCTTTGAAAGGAAAAGGGAGAAACAGCAAACACAGGGACTGCCACATGGGAGGACTCCATGCCTTAGAAGAACCAGTTCAATTTGCATGCAGTTATGATACATTTTGCAGAAACACATTTGATATTTTGCCTCTTCTTGGTATGAAACTCTGTTCTCATTTTCAAGAGCCAAAACACACACTACTTCTGCTAGAAGAAGTTAAGACTATAATTCTTTCTGAGTCTGCAATACATGGTTTCCTTTCTTACTCCCTGTCACAGTGGAAAAGTTGAATAATATATGTGGAAGGAGAGGAATAAAGTTCAAGTAGAGGTCAGTAATAATACAGTATGAATAGAAGACTCATTCATGGGGTAAAAAAGCACAAAAAGGCAAGAAGCTTGATGACAGAAGCGAGTGAAAAATACCTTGTGAATAAAGCATGAATGACAGAGAAAAGTCAGTCCTCCACAGTGATTCACAGCACCACAGCTGAGCAGAAGCGCCACTGAGGACAAGGGCAATATAAATCTATATCAGCAAAATGTCACTTCTTTAAAAAAAAAAAAAAA